TTAGATCAGAAACCAAAAAGAGGATGCAAATAAATAAAGGTGTCTGCGGTTGTCTGGTTTTGTACCCGACATGTTGGCTCCTGCCATGATGCCTGTGCAGCTGGTGAACATCACGGCAAATACAGTGGCGAAAGACATCATTGTGTTGGTACTGTAGTCCAGAGAGTAGTGCGCTACAGGACGAGACATTTGGACAAAATTCATGGCAGTGAAGCAATTATATAAATTAATGGAAACAGTTTTATGCTAAAAAATTTTATTAGAGGAGACATTTTTCCATCCTAAACATTTATCATCTATTCAGTTTAAATCTCTCTAATATTTTGAATTGTGTTAACCAGAAATTAGCAGTAAAATTGTACAAGTTTATGGCTAATGTCTGTATTTGAAAGTTTTTTATATTTTAATACATATAAAAATCAAATTCTTCACAGATTGATATATCAGCCAGACTGATAACCAACAAATGGCAACACAAGTAATCAGCGCTTCATTTTGTTAGAGCTAGAATCAGCTTTTGTCTGTGTAAAATGTTGATTTGAGAAATCGTATGTCTCATTAATTGCCAATAAATTATATTATACATACACACTGTTCAAATATGTGGGGTCAGAAAATCTGATACAGTAAACATTTCAGAAAATACAGTAAAAACAGTGGTATTGTTAAATATTATTACAGTAAACATACAGTAAACGGTGTTGACAAAGCCAAATTTTCAGCAGCATTACATCAGTTTTATTACTCATTTGCTGCTCAAGAAACATTTATCATTATTATCATTGTTGAAAACAGTTGTGCTGCTTAATATTTTTGTGCAAACTGCTAATATTTTTTTCAGGGCTGTTCGTTGAATAGAACATTCAAAAGAACAGCATTTATTTGAAACATTTTTTTTTTTACAACAATGTAAAAGTCTTTACCCTTACTTTTGTCACAATTCAGTGCGACCTTGCTGAATAAAAGTATTAATTTCTTACTGACCCCAAACTATTGAATGGTAGTGTACATGCATAGTATATACTGTATAGGAACAACACATTATAAAAATTCCCTTTGTCAGTAAACCAAAATGTTCCTATGAGGAATATCCATTTTTATTGTGTTTTCTTTTTTTAATGTCATTACTGCCCAATACACTTTTTTTTTCACTAAATGTTTCATCTAACACACAACACAATCATGATCAGTTTCATTTCCCTTTTATGTCTTTTGAAATATAACTGCTAAATAGCCTCAATGATCATCATCACAACCATCACTATCACTATTGCATTAACAATCATCTTACTCACGTCCGAGGTTGTTTTTTAACGTAGTGCTGTTGAAGCCTGTGTAGCTGGGGTTGACAGTGACAGTGTGGTTGTTGCCGTATGTGTGTGTGATGTTGAAGTGCTGTGGACGGAGTATCAGGGGGCTGATGATGATAGAGATCAGTGACACCGTCACCACCAGCAGAATGATAAAAGAGGCTTTGGCGTAGATATGAGCACCAACCAGACACACCACCAGACATAGCAACAGCACTAGAGAGGAGTACAACACGGTGTACCAGTAACCCTGCGGCAACACACGCAGCCCATGTGACACAGCAGAGCCTGGAGAGAGAGAAGAAAAGAGACGCTTCAGTGTAAAAACACAAGCCATATGCATGCTATTGCTTCAAAGACAGTTTAGTACAGTGTGATTCAATGCACCACTCACCTGGATCCTTCCCAAAGATGTCCAGTATGGCATCCACCAGGCCGAGTACATAAACGCCACACGCACATACCTTCGCCAAGTAAAACATCAGGCCGATACTGCCTCCAAACTCTGGTCCCAGAGAACGACTGATCATAACTAAGACTAAAGAGTTGAAGGTCAACAACATTATTCAACCACTCATGAACAACAGATTCACATATGATGGAGTCTGCAATTCTAGCACTCTATATGGCACAGAGATTGGTTAAGGATACAGTAGGCCCCGCCCCCTTCCACTGCACCATTAGTTGAAATAGCACATATAGACAGGATTGTCAAGGAGATGATGAAGTAGGCCACAAACAGCATTAGGAAACCATGGAGAAGACCAGCATGACCCACAACAAAACCTGCAAAATCGACATAGGCCTACACTGTATCAGAATGAATAATGTACAAAAAAAAACACCTAGAGCCACACAGAGGGAGGATACTTTATCAAGTCTCTGATCATCAACTTCTGTCTTTTCCCATCATTCTCACTCACCTGTGCGAAGAAAGAGCACAATACTGAACATGGAGAGGATGGTGGGCACCATGACGCCAAAGAAGGTGTTGAGTTTGCGGGGGTTTGATTTGGGGGCTCCCTCTCCTGTCACTTCGGATCCACCCCTGGAATCTTTAGTATCACCCATCATGCTGTACACCCCGTGAACAAGCAGAGGAGAGTGCTCGTTTGCCATGGTCTGAAAAACAGGAACCTGCAATAAAAAAAAACATTTAAGTGTTTCCTGGATAGTACATACAAACCAAAATAAGATTATTATTACTACACAAACATTCATAATATATACACTACAGAACATTTGGGGTCAGTAAAGTTTTTTTTTTAATACTTTCATTCCTCAAGGGCACATTAAATTGTTCAACGGTGACAGTAAAAACGTTTACATTGTTACAAAATATTTCTATTTCAAATAAATGCTGTTCTTTTAAACTTTCTATGCATCAAAGTAAAAATGTTAACTAAAACAACTGTTAATTATTATAATGTTAATTATGAGAAATGTTTCTTCAGCAGCAAATCAGCATATTAGAATGATTTCTGAAGGAAAATGTGACACTGAAGACTGGACCAATGGTTGCTGAAAATTCAGCTTTGCCATCACAGAAATAAATTACATATTAAAATGCATTTTTTAACATAGAAAACATTTTTTTTATTGTAATAATATTCCTGTTTTACTGTATGTTTGACCAAATAAATGCAGGCTTATGAGCAAAAGAGACTTCTTTCAAAAACAAGTTATATTGTGTATTTTTGTTGTTGTAATATAACTTTTTTTTTTTTTAAATCAGCATAATTAAAATGATAAAAAGCAGTTATTCCTGTAATGTCAAGTTCATGATTATTAGATTACTTATTTATATAGGGTTTTTTTGTGCTTTCAAAAATATCTAGCCAATGGATTTAGAGCTGTATAGTCACCATAAATGTCAATGACTCCATATCCACGACTTTTTTCAGGCCTGTAAATTTTCTATTTAATCGACTTTTCCATGACTATGGAAACCTTGAGACTGCAAGACCTTGATCGCCTATTGAACCGCGATTTTAAAACGTTACATATTTCTAGTAGCGGAAGTACATGATCATGTAAACAATCCGAAGTACGCGGTTGAAACGCGATTGTATTACGGTCCTATATAAGTAAAGATAATAATGTGACTATAAAAATACCACGGTGCTGCTAAACTAACATCCGAGTAGTTGTCTGAATAAACTAGCACACATTAATCCCAGAAAAGGCAGCTGGCATTGCTAGATGAGACCGCCACCTCCCTAAGCACTCAAGGATGCCTGTGCGTTTAAGGTTATAATGACACATATAACGGTGAAGTACAGTAAGGAGATGGAGAAGCAAACATGACCTACCTATCCTTATGAACAACAGCGGCGATGCCAATCTAAAAGCGGTATGTAACTTCCGCTTTTAGGAAGGAACTACACAAACCACAAGGAAACCAAACTACTCGTTTGACAATGTGGATGCAGGATGTCCTGAAACCGATACGTTTCTTCAGAGCATCATGTCGAGTTGGTTTCGTTTCTTTAAAGAGTCGCAGGTGGAAAGTGTTCGTCTGCAGCCTCAGATCTCGTGATCATCAAACCCCCGGGACATGACGGATGAGGAGCGCGCTGTCGTGTCTCCCGTGGACCTATGAACAACAGACAGCAAGACCTAATAAAAACATAACTCTATTATGTAACGGTGCATTGAGAGGTAATGATCCCGTACTCTCACACTGCAGCAGGGCTGGACTGTCCCGCCTGCCTGCCCCTCAGTTTGTAAAAAAAAAAAAAGTCACGGGACAGAGGAAGCGCCCATGTGACTTCACAGAGAGGACTGCTGAAATATCACAAGTGGAAGACGATTTTGAGTTGACCATGAGAGAACCGTGTTGTTTACTATTTGATTCGTTATTTAAAAAACTAGATGTTTAACCAGTCAAACATTTGATCTGATATTAAACCAAGTACCACACATACCTATTTCTTAATTTTAGGTTGCATCAAGTACACTATGCAGGCCCACTTAAAATGCAAAAAAAAAGGAGCACTATATAAAATCTTAACATGGGCATGGGTGTAGTACTTTCTGCCTTTATTTGTCAGGCTATAATTTATACTGATGCATTTACACCAAATACAAAAATAATTAGTTTCAGTTCTGATTTGTGCAGGATGCACATTTTTGTGTGATGATCAGAGTGAGTAAAATCAAGCCTCAAGACCAGAAAAATGCCCTATTGTGAAAGTTTAATCATAGCTGGAACCCATTTAAATGTTTTGCACTGTAACACTTGCATTGTTGTTTTTATGCATGAAAACAACTCATTATAGTTATGGTTATGCTGCACTGTGGTTGATGTATTTTGTACATATTAATCTAAATGAAATGTGTGTGTGTGTGTGTGTGTGATGGACAAACTGTTTACACAATCAGGCAAATATATATCTTCCAATATACCTCCAATTGTTTTTGGACCAAACTGTTGCTGAACAAACTTTATCTGTGGTGTGTTTTGTGCCACAACATATTCTCATAAAACGTCTTCTCGGATGTCGGATGTCTTCTCTTCACTAGGCCTTTTACTGAATTAGACATGTGCTGGTATTTGGTAACACGGTACATTGTGGGAATGAACATACAGTATTGTAATCATGCACACTTCAAAATACAGTGAATAATTCTGGGTACCTTGTTTTCTGAATTGTAAAGACTTTTAGACTGCACATTAGCTTATTTTCCATCAACCAGTTAAAATGTATGACACTGCATGACATGTATGCTGCATATAAAATAAGTCTGATTTTCACTTTGATCTGAAGTTTTGAAAAACACTGCAAACAGGCCAAATGGAAATGCAAATTCATGCTCTGACAGTATGTGGCACTTACAGAAAAGCAGAAATACAGTGGTTACCCGTGTACACAAAGTAGTGCTATGAAAATTCCTGTTTCTGAACTGAAGTCAAACAGTATTTAAATGCTTTCAAAACAACCATTCAGATTTTGTATTTGCTATGGTGTTTATAATAACACCACCAAATATTGAGTATTTAATACTAAGCGTTATATAATACGCATTTGTTTACACTTGTACATTTTAATCTGGACTAAAACACACCAGCCCAGAAAATATATTTGGATAATGGTTAAAAATCTTTTAATTTGTTGTTATTGTCCCTTATAGTGGTGCTCTTTTGTACTTTAATCCGTTTGAAACATGGTTACTTTATAATTTTTTTGTTGTTTTAATATATTTTTAATGTCCCTGATTTGAGAATATTTAAGAGGATAAGTTTATCTTTTCAACCTGTTTTTGTAACATCATTGAATACCAGCAGATAATACCATACCAGTTTCCACAATTACCATGCTTTGAAAATACCGCCACATGCCTAGACTGAATCCAAAGACTGTGTGTTGAGATGTGGCCAGACATAGGAGGGTCCGGCTGGGAGGAGAGGGAAGGTGGGATTGGCCACCGGAACAAATGTGGGTGAGTGTTTGAGTCTGTGCTTTTTGAGCTGACCGAGTTCTCTGAAGCAGCATCCACACTCAGCACAGCGGTACGGTCTCTCTCCTGTGTGAATGCGCTGGTGCTTGTGTAAGCTGTCCAAATGGCGGAATCGCTTCTCGCAGTATCTGCAAGGATACGGGCGCTCTCCTGTGTGTATGCGCTGGTGCGTTTTCAAGCAGTAGAAACGTCTGAACCCTCGGCCACAAATGTTACAGCGGTGCACTTTATCAGGGCTCTCGATAGTCCTGCTG